GGGATCGTTCACCCAAAAATAAAAATGTGATGTTTATCTGCTTACCCCCAGGGCATCCAAGATGTAGGGGACTTTGTTTCTTCAGTAGAACACAAACAAAGATTTTTAACTCAAACCGTTGCAGTCTGTCAGTCATATAATGGCAGTCAATGGGCTCCATGGCTTTGAGAGTAAAAAAAAACATACACCGACAAAACCAAATTAAACCCTGCAGCTCGTGATGATACATTGAAGTCTTAAGACACGAAACGATCGGTCTGTGCAAGAAACTGAACAGTATTTATATTGTTTTTTACCTCTGATCCACCGCAATGTCCAACTGTCCTGAGTGCGTTCACAACATACAGTGCGTGACATCAAATAAATACAGTCGGGCAAAAAATTCCACGTTGTCTGATGATTTATCAAAATCATCTTCCATTGTGATGACCTGTACTTCTAAATATCTTTAGATCATCGCAGAGTCAGTGAACACGTCTGCAATCTCTCTGCATTATGTAAATAATGTATACGTGCCACAGATCACTTCCGCACATGCGTCTACTATCATAGATATGTATAGATGCCCTATTCGACCGCTCCAGATATGTTGACGCGCCCGCCATTTTGGTACGTATCGTGGCCCATAGAAACAGTCGCTAATGAGGCATCTACTTATATATATCTATGTCAACTATGCCAGAGCACATACACGCGTCACGCACCGTATGTTGTGAATGCGCTCAGGACAGTTGGACATTGCGGTGGATCAGAGGTAAAAAACGATATAAATACTGTTCAGTTTCTATCTAGTAACTATCCCTTTAATACTTAATGAAGTTTATTAAAAGTCTTAAAATGTGGAGTCTTGGTTGTCTCAGATGGCATACCCTAAAATCAATCTCTTCTGACAAATTTCTTGATGTTTTGAAAAAGCATAAATGCCAAAAAGCTGACTTTTTCTTTCATGGTAATTTCTTGGCTTTTTCCCAAATAAATTCCTTTACACCAATCTAGAAACCCTCAAACTGTCTCTTTAGAAATAATTGCTTGCATTGTAAATTTGTAAAATATAAACAGCTCAATTGTTTTTTAGAAAATGACGGATCGTTTCACTCGACAAGACCTTTATTCTTTGGCTGGAATCATGTAGAGCTCTTTAAAGCTGCACTGAAACTGCAATTTGGACCTTCAATTTTAATTCTGGAGTGAACTAATCCTGTAAACTGTTCCAGTTTTCTTCTAAACAGTCCAATAATAGACACTAAACATCTGTCCTCACCAATGCCAGGTGACGAGACTATTTGGATTACATTGGGCACCTTGACATTCTTTGCAGGCGGTGAAAGGAATACATTGGGACCTGGAACTGTAAAAAAAAGGTCATTATTAAACCACTATGGTTACAACTGGCTGATAATATATCTGAACTGAAAATCAGAAAATTTAGTTTTTTTTATAGACGACCCACCAGCTTGGGAATGTTGGTTCGGACCCCTGGTGGTGCTGGATATGGAGGGGGGTATTGTCCTGGTCTCATTATCAGCAATCTGTGAATGAGAAAAAACACGAGTGCTTCAGTCGTGTGACAGATCTACATAACACAAAGCAACAATAAGGTCATTATTAAACCACTATGGTTACAACTGGCTGATAATATATCTGAACTGAAAATCAGAAAATTTAGTTTTTTTTATAGACGACCCACCAGCTTGGGAATGTTGGTTCGGACCCCTGGTGGTGCTGGATATGGAGGGGGTATTGTCCTGGTCTCATTATCAGCAATCTGTGAATGAGAAAAAACACGAGTGCTTCAGTCGTGTGACAGATCTACATAACACAAAGCAACAATAAAAATAACACACTGACTGACTGCTGTCTTTAATGTCACAAATCACTATAATGAAGAGTTGGGCTGTGCAGATTTTTGTAATGGCATCATGCGTAAATGACAAAGTCATTTTATGGAATACATATTTTTGAGTAGCTGGCACTATTGTTCAACATTGGCAGGCTGTATAATAGCCTTTATGCATGTTTTAGGTGGATGTTTGTATGTTTTTTGGAAGACGGCGAAACAAAGCTGTACCTATTTCAGAAGGTATTGATGATAGTGAGAGCAGAGCATCAGAAAATGAGGTTATAGTACTAAAAGAAGTTGTTGATTATCAAAGAGGATAGAAGCATTGAGGGTGAGGGCAATGATGAAGAATATAAGTCATAGGTTGTTGTGGAAGTCAGCTTTTAATACTGTCATTATCTTTATCTCATGTTCTCATATAACGGTTATCTGTATCCAAACATCACAAATGTGACTGTGGATGCACATAATGCAAAATAAAGAATATGATTCCTATCTTTTTCGATCTAAAACACCAAAGTCATAATATATGACACATACCTGTGTGTTTCTGCAGTCGGTGGAAAGCTGTGGAAATTCTGATGCTCTTCACTATAGATACTGGATAGTATATGGCAGAGATAAGAGGTGGAGCTGAATTATAAGTATGAACGCCAATGCTAATGTGTTTTCAGAAGTTCCTCAGCATCATGCAATTCTGAGTTCCCGATTGAATGGTCAGATGGAGTATGCTCACAAAATGCCTAAATTTCCAGTGCTAACACCTCCTAATGTCTCATCTTCTTCCCTACCGTTCTTACAGTATATCAGTCAGCTTATTCGGTCTCAGACTGCTGCAGCAGTGCTGACCTTCATATTAGATGCTTGACATAAACACACTAACAAGAGGACTGTGTGTGTATGTAATACAGATGAACCCCATGTTTGTGCTGAATTGGAGTGAAAGAGGTTTGGTTTCAGATTGTTTAGAGGTTTGTAAGTATTCTAGTAACAAATAAACATTTGGACAGTAAGTCTGGAGCTATGTGTTCTCAATAAGGTTGAATTATTCCTCCAGGCAGTGAGGACAGGTAATGTTGCTGGTTAGAAGCTAGTATGCCATCTAATGTTTAAGCAAGGAAACACTCTAATGCTCTCAAAATGAGTTTGTATGACAATTCATTCAGCATATTTCACACTCTAGTGTTCAGTGCAAATCTCAAAACGTGAATGAAAACAGAAATGATTGGTCTTTTGTGCTGAACACTCACCTGCATTGACCAGGACCTCTGTGAACTGGGCTGTGGTCGATGGAGACCCATATTTGGGGTAAAGTGAAGATGACATATCTGTAAAAACACTGAAACCTATTGCAGATGGGCTGGTATATTTTCCCTCACCCTTTATCTTTGCATTCATTTGAGTTCAATTCATTTGCTTTTATTTATTAAGCGTTAGCGTTAGTTCTGGCAGGTCACGTGAGTCAAGCTTGCATCAGCTGATTCTCAGCTGATCACATCTACCTATAGGAATACGACACCTATCGCGGCATTTCTATATAAGCTCTATTCAGTATTATTCAGCAGCTTTTCAGCTTGCTCAGGAGCAAATTACCCTCCTCCATCCCTAGCTCCTCCATTCGCCACAGTCAGGACTTGGCTTTCTGATATTCCTTGCTAATCAGATTCCTTTATCTTGAATAAAGTGTTACACTTAAATATCATTAAGTACATTAATGATATCTGCCTTGTTCTGTTCTGTTAACCCTAGGGGGATTATTACTGCTGCTCTCCCTGCTCATTCATGACAGGCTGCATGGATGGGCAGGGAGTGTTTTGCCCAGAACAGAACCATACCACCAAACCAAACTTTATGCTAAGTATCTATCATTTTGACGCTAGTGGTCCTGACAGAACTTTATTTATAGATCATTTATGAAAAGTTTTTTCCTGAAATATTTTAGTTGGGTGTTCATCTAACCATTTTTAAATGTTACTACTTGTTTCAGAATGTTCAGAGTACATTCAAAAGCAATATTCCCATAATGTTTGCACAATTATAAAACGAAATGTTCCCTTAACATTTGCATAACCAAGAAAGCTTTTAAAACATTTAAAAAAAAAAAACGTTTTGAATGTTCTGAAAGTATTCAGAAACAATATTTTATAACTTAATGATAACATTGGTAAACCGTTCTTAGAACATTTTTCATTAGCTGGGCTTAAGCTCGATCCTAATTGAATTTCAATCGGATTGGAAGGGGGTAAACTTGAAATAATCCCATTATCAGGAAAAAATTACACATGGAAACACTAGTTTTACGTCACACAGATGTGTGCACGTTTATTTACGTCTTATGGTTCACTTAAAGATGCTTTAAAAAAAAAAATTGGGACCTTTATTTAAAACCGTTATTTTTGAGTGTAATTAGTACAACAATATATATATATATATATATATATTTTTTTTTTTACCATAAACACGGTATTTGATCACTCTGAATGCTTGTAAGTAATGAGTAATGAATATGAAGGTGCTGATGCAGACTGAACTGCTGGAACTACAGCTGCTGAAGTCACTGGAATGCTCTCTGTGGGTTGAGGTGGATAAACTAGCTTTTATCTCGCTCAGACGTAAGGATAAGTGAGATTTTAGCTGCGTCACTAACAGTAACTTCTGAGTCTGAGTAGTTTAGCTAGTTTTGTCAGATAGTGACAAAGAGATAAGTGACTTCAGAACTTAGTTATTAAGAGAATGCAGACGAACATACACATGTGAATGTTAATTGTCTTTACTGTGCATGTTGAAAATGTCATCAGGGTGTCCTGGAAATAAAGGTGGCCAGAGGGGCACAGAAAAATTGGGAGGCAACTACAGTAAACGGAAGCTGTACTAGAGTAAACTGTTTGTGATATTTAAAGATTTTCTAGCTTTCACTTGATAACTAACATAAATTACTTAAGTTAAATGTAATTTGTCCAGGTGATTTTGTCAAATTGACGTCAAATTACTTTTTTAACTAGCATAAAAAACAGTTAATTTATGTTACCACATATAGCACGCTACTTATCAGAAAAACTTTTGTAGCATGCACTGAAAAAAAAAATATCTGTAAATATAAGGCACACCTACCTGTATTAATTTGAGGGAAATTATATATATATATATATTTTTACAAGTGTTTTACCTGTATTTTACACAACATTGTGTTGTATTTTAGAATGATCGGAAATGCACATAAAATGAATGGTGCCACTTCTGTTATTTTACAGATTTATTTGTTTAAATGATGTTAAAGAACGATTTTATAAAATTTTTATGAATGTTCAAACTGCCCCTGTTTTGGGGTCAATTGTAGCATTTGACCTTGTCTGTTCAAGAACAATTTGTACATATATTATCATATGTTACATACATTACAGCTGACAGATGTAGCATTAAACTAGCATTACAATTTTGGCTTTTTCTAACACACACAGTCTCTAAGAAACAGAAGTAAATGCAAAAAGTCTTGCAACCGACCCCGCTTTCCCCCTAAAGTCCAGATAATGCTGCCATTTCGGCCACTCAAAGTTTTTCCTTTGGTCTTCCAGATTTTCTTGGTTTCAGAGCAAGCTACATGGGTTTGTGCACATGGATGACGGTTTTGCAGTGTGGACAGCTATGCTCTACATCCTTGCAGGCTTTCACACAGAATGGAATCAAACAACACGGCCAGACCCTGGATTGAAAAAATGAGTGCGTTTTCTATTCTCATATCATTTTGATACATTTGAAATCTGCTGAATACGATTCCTTACCCTAAAAAGCCAAGACTTGCACAGATGACCCACACCATCATGCCATTGATATATTTCATCTCTGTTACGACCTCCTTCTGGCAGTATTGACATTTCATCCGCCCCGCAACAGTAGTCAGACGTGGTGGAATAATTACTGCATCTACAAATACACAGAAAAAGACTTAATACTGATGAAAATGAATAATAATATGATTTTAAACCTCTTAACATGTCACACAGCTTGCTGAAACCTTCTAGCATTTGAACACAGAGTAATCTAAGGCTTTACTGCTCACCCGGGGCCGGCGCAGGAGCCGGGACCATCTGAATTACAGGCTGTGCCACTGGAGCTGAAAGAGAAACAAGCTGGTGATGCAAAGCCACAGAACCAGAGACCCGTAGCACATCAACACTCACCAGCGGCAGGCACAAATACAGGCTGAGCTGCAGCCATGACTGGCATCTGTGCAGCTGGGTAAACCGTGGCCATTGGAGCTGGAAAACAGAAAACCATCATCTCCAAATGGTGGCATGACATGAGGAAGGTTGCATTTATCTTATTTATCAAATTTATTTACACTTATAACTAAAGCATAAAAAGTGTTTCCAAAAAACACTGATGCAGCCCATTGTTTTTTTTTTTTTTTTTTTAATGTAATTCTTTTTAAATTGATTACAGTTTTTTTTTAACAATTGCTAGTTTTTCCTCAATACTTCAAAACTCTTCACACAGTCCCCTAACCAACTTTCATCTCGGCACAGCAGCTAATTTCACATTCAAAATGCACTTAAACTACCAAAACACTTTATACATCATCTGTGCAGCTGGGTAAACCGTGGCCATTGGAGCTGGAAAACAGAAAACCATCATCTCCAAATGGTGGCATGACATGAGGAAGGTTGCATTTATCTTATTTATCAAATTTATTTACACTTATAACTAAAGCATAAAAAGTGTTTCCAAAAAACACTGATGCAGCCCATTATTTTAAATGTAATTCTTTTTAAATTGATTACAGTTTTTTTTTAACAATTGCTAGTTTTTCCTCAATACTTCAAAACTCTTCACACAGTCCCCTAACCAACTTTCATCTCGGCACAGCAGCTAATTTCACATTCAAAATGCACTTAAACTACCAAAACACTTTATACATTTAGCAAATGAACTCGTTCTTCCAAAACACTGGCAAATATTGAAAATATTATGTGCTCAAATTTAGATGCAAATATCGCAGCCAGTCAGAAAAAGTGAAAAATGTCACACTTTTCTAGAAATGCTGCGTTTTTACAGTAACATTGTGGTATGCGGAAACATTCCTTCTGAACTAAGGTCTCATCTGCTCTGATCTATGCGAGATGTAGATGTTTAGGTTATGCTGGATGCCATGACTGTCAGTGGTGGCTGTGTACGATAGACCATGATCACTGATGAAAAAAGGTTACCTGTGACTGCTAATCTCTGAATTGAGAACCAGAGGGTCTACTGACCTGGGTGGGTTTGAAAGGCAACCTGCGGTGCCGGGTAGGATATGTTGGTTTGGACCACCTGTGGTGCATATGGAGGGGGAAATTGTCCTCTGTCCATTATCAGCAGCCTGTAACTGAGAAAAACAGAGGTGCTTTAATAGTGTGACAGTTCCACATTCAACACTGACGAGGCAATTTTCTTTTGAGTGTGACTAAATTATCAATTGTGTTATCATGAGACCTGATCGTCTGAAAGCAGAGCCCCGATCAGCCAGTTTGCCAACATTTTATCTGCCAGGAGTTTTGAGTAACAGATAAGTCAGTGGAATGCGTGGATTCGAAAAAATGAGAGAAATCTGTGTCTAACATTTCAAATCAAACATTCTAAAAGTGAGCGCTTCAATATACTGACATTAACCACGGTAGCATAAACTACTGGTCAGATGAATAAAAATAAAATGAATAAAAGGAAGGGTAACGCAGGTAAATAAGGCCACTTTTGACCCTGACTTTGAGAATTACCTGACATCACCCATATCATCTGTTAAGTTCAGCTTTCATAATATTGCTATTATTTTTTATCTCAGGTTTTACAATACCAATTATTTGTATCCAAACATCATAGTGCACTTAAAAAAATTAACAAAACAAAAAGCTAGCTGTGGAACAAGCAATATTCAATTATTTAAAACGAATGAAACAAATTGGATTTATTGATAATAATCATATAAACCTTATTACTGTGTTTAAAACCTTTTCTGTTTATTAGTACAATTGCTAAAATCTTACCGGTTTTATTTATGACTGACAAATATGCATGAGTTATCAGTTATGTTAAAACTGTGAACATTTACATATATAAATGATATGCAAGTCAAATGCATAAATCTGAAATGTATGTGTTAGTCTGTGGAAACAGATAATCCAAAATCAATCCAAAACCCCCAAACTCAATATAATATGACACATACCTATGTGTTTCTGCAGTCGGCGGAAAGCTGTGAACTCTCTTACAGTATGCTCTTGCCTATAAAGACACTGAGATATTATAAAGAGTCTGTCAGAATATTGTAAAGATAAGGGGTGGAGCTTAAAGTACAGTCATGAGGGCCGATGGTAATGCAGATTCAGACGTTCCAGTTAAAGCAACTGAGTTACAGATTGAATGGTCAGGAACAACATGTTTACAAAACTCCTGAATTTTTAGTCCAAGCACCTCAACATATAACAAAAGCATAACCTTTAAGTGCCTGTATGCATTTGTGTTGCTTCTCCTCTGAATGTACTGAATGTAAATCTGGATGGCTAGTGAGAGCGAGAGGGCGTGGATCACGTTTATAATAGTGTCAGTTGGTGAGGACAGCAGGCTACAGTCATAAATGTTGGCATAAACTTACAGGCGAGATAACGGTGACACTTACTGTGTAGACAGGGTCATCTTTCAGGGTCAACAAGCTACAGGTAGTCCAAAATGCAGTGGCTAGAGTCCTTACCAGGTCAAGAAAATATGATCATATTACCCCAATTTTACATTCTCTGCACTGGCTACCTATTAAGTTCCGTATCAGTTACAAAATATTATTACTTACCTATAAGGCCCTTAATGGGTTAGCTCCTGCATACCTAACTAGTCTTCTACCACGCTACAATCCATCACGCTCCCTAAGGTCGCAAAATTCTGGACTTTTGGTAGTACCTAGGATATCAAAGTCCACTAAAGGAGGTAGAGCTTTTTCGCATTTGGCTCCCAAACTCTGGAATAGCCTTCCTGATAACGTTCGGGGTTCAGACACACTCTCTCTGTTTAAATCTAGATTAAAGACACATCTCTTTGGCCAAGCATTCAAATAATGCATCTCATAATCTTATACTGTAGTTATATCTGATCAAATGCACATTATTATTCTTTAGCTTGGGTTAAACAAATCAATTTTGCTTGGTTGGAACAGCAGCTACGCTAATTATGTCTCTATTTGTTTCTCTGTTTCTGCCACGGGACAACTAGGATTTACACAAGCTTCAGTCTGGATCCAGAACACCTGAGAAGAGATGATGCCAACCCCTCAGAGGACCTCAGATGATGCCAACCCTGAAACAACTTACAGAACTACCACATTTTGCTATAAGTTTGATTGCATCATATAATAATTGCTGTTAATAGTGTTCATCGTCTGTTTGATTACATCTTTAATTGATTTTTCCATAAATTTCTGCCATATGTACATTAACTGACAGTCACCCCTGATAAGCTTGAATAGCATAAACTTGAATTGAATCTTTAACTGGTTAAAACACATGGGTTTTGACTAACCTGCCTATTTTGCAAAACAGAGAAAGCATCATTATCAGTTTAACTAAGTTATTTTTCCATTTGTTTATACACTTGCTGTTAATGTTATTGGAAATTATGGCTGATCAGCAGACAGATGTGATTTAGATGGCACTGTCCACAAACAGGTTACATAATCGGCCCTAAATCCTAAATTATCACTCAGGAGGGTTCTAACCAGATGGAACCAATTGTTGTTTTTTCGCTATTGATAAACTTGTGAAGATTCTGAACATTTGTTTGATTTTCTTCTTATAGTAACTTAACAGGGTTGAATAGTTGAGTTTGATGAATGCAGTCCACACAATTACATTCATAATTTGAATTGAATTTCTTTTACTTGTCTTCATGCCATGCTGTAAAAAGGTCCAAATTATGTCACTTCCTGGGTGTCATGGTTTAAGCAATGTTACATTTTATGTAATAGGGCAAAGTCATACAGTGACAAGAATGCATACAAAATATTACGTCTGGTTGTCGAAAATGAACAAATTAAATGTCTCCTGTTTTTCGTTACGTTATTTTTTTGTCTGCAGATTATAAACCACTTTATCATGTTCTGATTTGATTTTAATGGTTTGATCCGTTTCTGATTATATTTGTAGTGCGTTCATACACTGCTTATTTGTAATCTGTGACCAGATTGTGACCGTACTACAGTCGAGCTCCTCTCTTCCTCTGTCAGTTGTACTCATTGCTCGTAAAACTTTAATGTTTAATGTCCACCATGGGAGGAAGTTTCCATTCATCCAGTGAAACAGATGAGTGCTGTTCGATTCTACATTGATTCATATCACCTCAATTTGAGTCCGGCGTTTCCTGGAATTAGTCAGTCATTAACCTCAGTGAAGCAACATGATGTCAATTAAAATCTTGCTAGAAAGAGGAAGCACCTAGCTGTAGAACAACACAGAGAGGCCATGCAGCATATCCTGGGTAAACAACTTCACTGTCACGCATGCAATGCTGAAAATTCTTTGTTTTCTGGAAATTTGGTGACTTAAACCTTTATTTTGCTAAAAGATCTAATGTTTAGACTTTAGAGCCTTGATTTTCCATGCACTGAAGCATCTCTCATCTTCCTAATCCAGGGCTGTGTTTCCCAAAAGCATCGTAAGCCTAAATTGATCGTAGCTCCATTGGTTTCTTCGATGTGCTTGACGATGCTTTTGGGAAACGCAGCACTGCACATTCAGAACTGGCATGAACAGGACATAAAACATCCATCACCTTGCATTAATCAAATCTGGAGTTTTGCCTTTTCCTTCTCTAATACTGTTTTAGGGGAAACGGCCCTTACGCAAATTAACCATGGTTTTATTGTAATAAAAGTACTAGTAATGTTTTTTTGGCATATTGATTACCATTTGTATAACCACAGTTTTACTACAAATACCATGGTTAATTTGTGGTTACCATGGTTTAACTAGTAACCCTGTGTTTTTGTTGTTGTTTTATTTGTAGTAAAACCATAGTTATTTTTCTTAAGGGAGGGGAATTAAACATTTATTTATTTTTGTTTAGCCAAATTTTTTTTGTGTGCTCTGATAGCCTAGTTATAACTTTGGTTAAACCCCAAACCCAAGGTCTGTATCTGAATAACTAGCTTCGAGTCAACAGAATAAAGAAAGAATGTTGAAACGTGACACTTGGAACTCTCGCGTGCGTAACGCGTGCTTAGCGACCGTCGGTATCCAAGCAACGGAATACAAACATTCGGCGACTTCAACCACTACAGGCTGTTAATACTCTAACTTACACCAAAAGATGATGCCATCCCAAATTTTAGTGTCTCGCCCCTATTTTGACACGCGGCTAGCGGCGCAGAATGGCTCACAGCCGCTGGTCACAAACCCGGAGACCGCCGTTAAAGAAAACGTGTACGCTGGGACATCCGCCGGTCTGGCCACGGCGGGCTACCGGAGCGCCAAATACAGCCCCGAGGAGTGGCTCGCCAATAACTCTGCTCTGTTAAACCGCTCCGTCGCGGACCGGGATCACGCGGAGAGGATTTGCACCGAGTCCAAAGCGCTGAAAGCGGAGACCGACGCCGGGACTTTACGCACGCAGACCGCGGGCACCAAACACCTGGGCAACCGGCTGCAGGACATCCACCGCTGGAGATCCGAGCTGGAGCAGCTCATCGAGCGGCTGATCGCGGAAACAGACCTGCTGACGGCCTCCAGGCGGCGGCTGGAGAAAGCGCTGGACGCCACGGAGATTCCCTCCGCCATCGCCACTGATAACCTCAGCTGCCGAGAGAGACGCTTCGGACCGGATCTGGTGGAGGACCAGGTGGAAGAGGAACTTCTTAAGGTACGGGCAACAAGAAGTGAAAGTCTTATTTTTCCCAAATAATAAATAAACAAACAAACAAACAAACACACACACAAAATAAATGATAATCGCGATTAATCGCATCCATAATAAAAGTTTTTGTTGACATAGAATACATTACATTATATATATATATATACACACACACACACACACACACACAATTAATCGCATCCATAAGTTTTTGTTTACATAGAATATATGTGTGTACTGTGTATATATATATATATGTATCTATGTATAAATATATAGATACATGTATCTATATATTTAAGAAAAATATATTTATATATATATAATATAAAATATAAGAATATAAATGTAGATACATGTAAATATTTTCAATATATATACTGTATGTGTGTGTTTCTATATACAAAATAAATATACACCGTACACATACATTATTATATATTTTAAACAAAAACTTTTATTTTGGATGCGATTAATCGCCATTAATCTTTTGACAGTTCTAACACACACACACACACACACACACACACACACACACACACACACACACACACACACACACACACACACACGTCTGCAGCTCCCCACAAAATGGACATTTTGGACATTTCTTTATGTTAAGAATATTATCAATTTTGTATTCTTTACTCATTAATAGAGACTAATAATAATACATAGGCCTATAACAATACAATTATTAGTAGTTGTAGAAGCCTTCTTCATTAATAAAAGATTTAAAATAATATATTGCCATTATTATTACTAGTAGCTGTCGTAGTGAATAAGCAAGAAAGATGCCATTAAACACAAAAAAAGTTCAATGTGTCAACAACAGATCCTGACACAATTTTTTAATGATTTCCAACAGGAAGTGGAGCTGATCAGAAGCATTCAGGCCTTGCTGAAAAAAACTCTGGATCAAACTGTCAACCAGATAAGGCCAGTTGTCCAAAATAGGGATCTCTCTTTAATTCTGTTCAAATTCTATATTATATCAGTGCAATAATTCACGTTTATATCTCATGAAGCAATCCTTAAGGCAATAGTACACCAGAAAAATAACATTTGGTCAACATTTATTACTTTGAGTGTTCAGCACACAATTGTAATGGATTTTGATTGGATTGCAGATTAAAGTTATAAACCTGTCTGTGTCTGCCAGGCTGAACCGGGAGGTGAAGCAGACTCTTGAGTTAGACTGGTCTGATAAACAGCATGCCTACAGTCTGGATGACCAGTGTGGACGCTTTAACAACAGGAGCACCGACACACAACGGCATCCCAGCTCAGCCGTGCTGCAGGACCAGTGCGTGCCAAACCTTACCTCAGCTCAGTTGGAGTGACACAACTTAAACATTAAAGCACTGTTAGATCGCAGCTGTTGTGGTGACAGCATCTCAGATGCGTTTCTCTGTAGGGTGTGCAATGAGGAGGTTTGGCGTAAGTTTACTCTGGATAACCTGCGGCTGGCGGAGAGAGAGGAGGTGGCGAGCCAGGCCTTGAGGCGGCTGATTGAGCGGGTCCTGCAGGAGACTTCTGAGGACCTACGGGCGCAGTGTGCCACTGTAGATCAGGCCTTCAACCAGCGCTGCATGGAACTGAGCCAAGCCAAAACACAGCTGGAGCTGCACCTGGCACAGGCAATACACATTTTTACAAAACAAAAACCAATACATGCACACAAGGTATCACATATGATAGAGTCTATATAATCTGCAGATTTCATACAAGTAAACAAATCCAGAGGTTAAAATTTTGAATGCTAAGAATGTTTAAAGCAGTGGTTCTCAACTCCAGTCCTCAGGACCTACTGCTCTGCACATTTTGTGTATCTCTGATCTGACACACTCAGTTCAGTTCTTGGATCTCTCTCTTAACTAGCTGATGAACTGAATCAGGTGCATTAAATAAGGGAGACACACAAAATGTGCAGAGCAGTGGGTCCCGAGGACTGGAGTTGAGAACCACTGGTTTAAAGGAACAGTTCATACAAAAATGAACATTTGCTAAAAATGTAAAGATTTGGAGAAATGTAGCATTCCATCGCTTGCTCACCAATGGATCCTCTGCAGTGAATGGGTGCCGTCAGAATGAGAGTCCAAACAGCTGATAAAAACATCACAATAATCCACACCACTCCAAGTTTGAACTTTAAACCATTGCTCCTAGCATGAATGTATTTGCTTAGAACTGTTTTGGACTGTTTTTGCTTGTAAATGGGGCTTGATCTGTGCATAATTCTCTCCTGATTCAAACAAGGCAATTTTTTTAAACTGGAAAAAGCAATATTATTGATATAGGACTCATATGTTAGCCGTAAATATAGGTATGATGGATTTGTTTCTTACAAACATGCAGATTTTCACTTCACAAGACATTAACTGATGGACTGGAGTGGTGTGGATTACTTGTGGATTATTGTGATGTTTTTATCAGTTGTCTGGACTCTCATTCTGACGGCACCCATTCACTGCAGAGGATCCACTGGTGAGCAAGTGATGTAATGCTACATTTTTCCAAATTTGTTCTTATGTAAAACAAACACATCTATATTTTGGATGGCCTGAGGGTGAGTAAATTTTCAGCAAATTTACATTTTTAGGTGACCTTTTCCTTTAATATGTCTGTGTAATAGATTCTAGAGCAGATTGGGGCTCAAGAGAGGAATATCTCATATCTGCAGCAAGCTGTGTATGATAAAGAAGCTCCTCTCAGAGTGGCTCAATCTAGACTGCATTACCGAACCGTCAGACCCAACTTGGAGCTGTGCCGAGACCAGCCCCAGCTCAGGTACATAAACACACTCAGTCTCCCAACACACATAAACCCATCTGATGTGTGTGTGTTTGTGTAGTTTGTTAGGTGAGGTGTCAGAGCTCAACAGTACAGTATCAGCCCTACAGCAGCAGCTGTATGAAGCACGCAAATCTTTGTCGGACCTGGAAGAAAGCAGACTGTCCCTGGAGAAAGATATCGCTTGCAAAACAAACTCTCTCCTCATCGACCGAGAGAAGTGTATGACGCACCGTACACGCTACCCTTCTGTCACAGTGCTGTCTGGATACTGACACGGTGTCATGCACTTCTTAACAGGAGGTCTGGATTCATTAGACAGTCACTTCCAGTGGCATGTAATGTGTGCGCATTTGCTCAGTGTTTTTTTGAATGCAGTGGTTATGTCTATCCTCTGGTTTTAAAGAAAATGTTTTTGGGAAAAAATTTTAAGCAAATATTCTAGTTTTAAATGATACATAATACCCTGAAATGGTTTAGTGTGGTTTATGGTAATGGTTTAATTAAAAAAATGAGACCATTCAAAAATGAAAATGTCTGTCCTCATTTACACACCCTCTTATCATTTCAAGCCTATATGACTTTATTTCTTATGCAGAACTCAAAAATTATGATTCTGAAGAATGTTTCAACTGTTTTTGCCCACAGAATAAAAAAAATCAACAATGTCCAAAATAACGCTGTATACACCACTGATTTTTATTCAATTATGACAGTTTGTTAATGATTGATGAAAATTCAAACATAGACTACATGACATATGAAAACTATTATTACTGTATTATTGTTAAGTAAATCTTTGTAAGTCATTACAATGACAATTAAATATTTCAAAAAATCTGTGAAAAGACAACTGGTATCTGTATGGAAAGACTTATTTTAGCTCACAGACCATCTGATGCAAATACAGACAAAACTGAAAAGCACTTTCTCTATTTAAGTTAAAAAGCTGACTGTATGGTTTTATTCAGATTACACGAGAAACATAATTTCATCAGTCCGTGTTTACAAAGTATAGAGTTAATACAGTTAGTGCTTTTGTCAGTGTAATCAGTTCTTTGAAAGATATTCAGAGTACTGTTCCATGATGTATTTTTTTTTCTTCATGTTAGCAAGGAATATATTTCAGATACTACACATAAACAATACGAACTGTATTTAATAATTTTACATGTCAGTTGAAAAGCTGTACCTGTGTAAGACGTTTTCTCACCACTTTCTTCAATATTGCGTCGGACGCTCTTAAACGCGGTGTGTTTACATTTGACCAGCTACCAGACATAACTTTAATACTAACTTAAAAGTTACAAAGCAACCAACAGTACATTTGTAGGGAAAAATTTATAATTTGAAGCTGCAGTTTTTTTCTCTACAAGACCATAAGAAAGTTAATTTCATTTAGGAAGATTCCAGTCAGGTAGTTTTCTCTCAGTGATGCAGAATTATGTTGATGCTCCAGTTCTTAACCAGTTTGGCACAGATACACCAGCAGTGGGTTACTTTAACCAGCAGCTCAGAAGGTAGTCGAGGGGGTGTATCCTCTTTTTTCTTTGTCTATATAGTTTAGGGATGTTGGTAAATACGTCTGTGAAATATAATTATGCAATTGAAAATACTGTACCACAATGCCAAAGTATAGTTCAACTTATTTAATTTGCAGATCATTGAATCTTAAATACATATATACGGTTATAAACAGCATCAGAAAATGTATTAATACAAATGAAAGCTATATATGAAGTAAAATAAATATATGAAATGTGTATAAGATAAATTAGTAAATATACAATAAATAAATAAATACACAGGTGGAAAAAAATCTGAAATGACTCCATTGCAGTAATGGCTTTAGTTACAGAACCTAATTTAGGTCTACTCTCACGGCATCAAATGCTTCTATTTACAATGTGTTTTTGCTGGCATCCATTGGTCTCTTATCAGTCTTGGCCAAAATCATTTAAATAGATTGACTAATCACTCTCCTCCAATAGCTGGTGGGTACGCTATGACTCACTTTACATTATCTGGATGGATGATGCACACAGGTGGCGGTAGAGGAGATTCCTCCACTCTGTTGGAAGGTTTCTCTCCAGTGTGAGTTCTCGTGTGAATTTTAAGGCTTTGTTTCACTGTGAAACTCTTTCCACATTCAGAGCAGATGAAAGGCTTCTCTCCAGTGTGAAATCTTTTGTGAATTAGAAGGTGTCCTTGTTGCATGAACCTCTTTCCACACTCAGAGCAGGTGAATGGCTTCTCTCCAGTGTGAATTCTCTTGTGTCTCTCAAGGCCTTGTTTCACTGTGAAACTCATCATACAATAAGAGCAGGTGAAAGGCTTCTCTCCGGTGTGGATTTTCACGTGCCTCTCAAGGGTAATGTTCATCGTGAAACACTTTCCACACACAGAGCAGATGAAAGGCTTCTCTCCAGTATGAATTCGCATGTGGTTTTGAAGGTGTCCTTGCTGCATGAAACTTTTCCCACACTCAGAGCAGGTGAAATTCTTCTCTCCAATGTGAATTCTCAGGTGTCTCTTAAGGCCTTGTTTCACTGTGAAACTCTTTCCACACTCTAAGCAGGTGAAATATTTCTCTCCGGTGTGAATGGTTATGTGACTTTTAAGTTGTCCGTGTTCTGTGAAGCTCTTTCCACACTGAGGGCAAGTGAAAGGCTTCTCTTCCGTGTGAATGCTCATGTGTCGCCTAAGGTTTCTGCTCACTGTGAAACTCTTTCCACACTCAGAGCAGGCGAAAGGCTTTTCTCCAGTGTGAATTCCCATGTGACTTTCAAGGTGTCCTTGTTCCATGAAACTCTTTCCACACTGGGTGCAGGTGAATGGTTTCTCTGCAGTGTGAATTCTCACGTGTCTCTTAAGGCTCCTGTTGACTGTAAAACTCTTTCCACACTCAGAACAGCTGAATGGTTTCTCTCCAGTGTGAATTCTCATATGAATATTAAGCTTTTGTTTCTCTATGAAGCTTATCCCACACTCAGAGCAGCTGAAAGGCTTTTCTCCCGTGTGAATTCTCATGTGTCTCTCAAGGCCATGCTTCAGTGGGAAACTCTTCATACAATATGGGCAGACGAAAGGCTTGTCTCCAGTATGAACGCTCATGTGAATTTGAAGTTGCCCTTGTTGAATGAAACTCTTTCCACACTGAAAGCAGCTGAAAGGCTTCTCTCCAGTGTGAATTCTCATGTGACTGTCAAGGGTACTCTTCACTGTGAAACACTTTCCACATTGAGTGCAAGTAAAAGGTTTCTCTCCAGTGTGAATTCTCATGTGACATTTCAACTGTCCTTGCTGTGTGAAACTCCTTCCACATTGAGGACAAGTGAAAGGCTTCTCCCCAGTATGAATCCTCATGTGGATTATAAGTTGTCGTTGTTCCATGAAACTGCTTCCACACTCCGAGCAAGTGTAAGGTTTCTCTCCAGTGTGAATTCTCATGTGATTCTCAAGGTGTTGTTTCACTGTGTAACGCTTTGCACACTGGGTACATCCGAAAGGTTTCTCTCCAGTGTGAATGCTCATGTGTCTCTTAAGGCTCCTGTTTACTCTAAAACTCTTTCCACATTGAGGGCAGCTGAAAGGTTTCTCTCCAGTGTGAATCCTCATGTGAATGTTAAGCTTTTGTTTCTCTATGAAACTCATCCCACACTCGGAGCAGGTAAAAGGCTTCTCCCCAGTGTGAATTCTCATGTGTCTCTCAAGGCTTTGTTTAAATGTGAAGCTCTTTCCACACTGAGGGCAGGTGAAAGGTTGCTCTCCAGTGTGATTTCTCAGGTGAATATTAAGCTTTTGTTTCTCTATGAAACTCATCCCACATTCAGAGCAGGAAAAAGGTTTCTCTCCAGTATGAATTCTGATGTGTCTCTCAAGGCTTTGTTTAAATATGAACGTTTTTCCACACTGAGGGCAGATGAACGGCTTCTCTCCAGTGTGAATGCTCATGTGCTGCTTAAGGTTTGCTTGTTGAATGAAATGCATCTCATGCTGATGGCATGTGACAGAATCTTCTTTCAGTTCCTTGAGATCTAAAATAAACATTAAAAGATCAATGTCCAAAATCACTTCATGGGCAATAATGTTGAGACAATAGCTGTACAGTAATGGTCGGTAATAGATGTGCACCCCAAACAATAAAGTAAAATTAACAGAATAAATATGTATACACTCTAAAAAATGCTTGGTTGTTTCAACCCAACTTTGGGTCAAATATGAACTAACCCAACTTCTGGGTTAAAAATTTAATGTAAAAATTTAACCCAACGGTTGGGTTGAAACAACCCAGCATTTTTTTAGAGTCTAAGAACGTTTACATAGCTTGTGAATAAATTGTTTTATTGAACCAGATCTTCACTAAATAAGACTAGAGCTTGGGATGGGCATGAGTACATCAAGTAACTGAAGTAAGAAACAGTTTTAAACTGTTATTACATAACTATCTGATTGCTCAAACATGGCTTCTGATATATTCATTGTTGTCCAAGGCAACTTGGCAGCATGTTTTCATGTCTCTCACATCACATTATGAACTGAAACTCCTTCGTTTCATACAAATGAATATTTCAGTATTAATATTACTGTAATATAATTGCAGAGTTCATCTTGTTGTTGAGGAATGAGGACGGCAAATGAAGATTCACACTTCCAAATAGACTTTACTGAGAATACAGGTGTAGAACCACACATAACACAATATAATAATTGACAAAGAACAGAATCAGGACTATAAATACACATGGTAAATGAGGGAACTAAACAGGAACAGCTGGACAAGGATTAACTAATCAGAAACCATAACTAATGAGAGCTCATAACAGACATGACAGGAACTGAACTAAACTGAACATCATCGTGACACTTGTTGCTAGGTTGATTTTTTTTATGTCACAGTGAAATGTCTGTTCTTCTTAGCAGAAGTGTTATGATCATGTACAGGAAGGATTATTAAATAATTTAAACTCAAATCAATATTTCATGCCCACCTGTTTATTTTTAATGCGAGCAGCCAGAGCAATGTAATACGCACGATATTATTGTTGGTTGATCAACATACTTTTTACACATATCATTTTGTTGTGGTGCCATATTCAACAAAAATACATTTAAAAAAGTATTTGTCTTTTATGATATTGATAATATAATAATACAATGTTTAATGTGGTGTTATAATATTATTAGAACTTCAGTTTAGTTGAATCACTTTTGTAAAATTGAGCATTATGTGCATAGACATTTAATGATACTATACATGATTTGTCAAAAAAAAAAAAACATGGCCCACTTTACCAGATTTTGCACATTTCTCATGAGACTTCTCATTAGTTAATTTTACCAGCAAGAATGAATCATCTTAATTATCAAATTATCTAATCTAAAAATCGCATATTTTCTATTATGTTCTTTTAAATGTATACTTGGTCTATATATTCCCAGCTATTGCGGACACTTAAACATCTGGAGTAGCCTGACAGTGTTTCTAATTCGGCATAAATCTTCTGATGTTCACCACTTTTCATTAGTCACGATCAACAATTAATAGAATAAACATAATCTTATTTGGGTCATTGCAACTGACAAATAACCAACTTACACTGCCTTTTGTTCTTGCAGTCTTGCATTGGTGAGGACTGGCAGGTTTTCTGCACATCTGGAGTCTCTGTGGTCTGATTGTTTTCATGCTGCTCCATCTTTATCAGCAGGAAATGTTCGATGCCGCTCCTTTCATCAGTCTCCATCAATCAGGTTTCGTTCACTCTGTTCTCTAATAGCTGTTCTACAACCAAAACCGATTTGGGTTTAAATCACTGACTTGTCTTTCTCCTTAAATAAGGTTCCATTCGAATGCGAAGCGGTGGTGCGCGTGTCACACTGGTCAAGTCACGTGACTTCAGCACAGAGGCCTCGTTGCTGCGTCACATACTGGTCCGAGACGCTTCGACAGTTCGATGGTTCACCGCTAGGGGGCGATGCTCTGCTGTACCAGCCCTTCTACTCCGTATTCAAGAGCTCTAGATCAGGGGTGCCCTGTTCTGCTTCTGGATTGAGTTACAGATTGGAGAAGTATATATTGGGGACAAAATAATGTAAGAACAAAGTAATAGGGAATGTATTAAAATGTAGGTTATTTTCAGATTTCAATACACCTACACAATTTGAAAATGAAATATTTAAAAACAAATTCTGTAATTATTGTAAATGGCCAATTCTACCTAAAATGAAGGATATTCAGTTTAGGATTATTAATAACGTGTATCCAGCTGATCCTTGTGTTTTATTTTGTTTGTTTACAAGAGCCTGGAACCGTTGCACGTTTATTTTTGTCTTGTCCAGTCACATTGAAGTTCTGGCGGGATCTTTACAGCTGGCTAAATATTGATATCAACACTGATATTCCATCACTAAATTTGTTTCAGGTTTCGGTTTATGCAGAAAAAGATATCATTGATGTTAAACATTATTATTACAATGGGTAAATATCATATACACAAAAGTAAGTGGAATAACAGTAAACCCTCTTTAAATTGCATGAATGTAAAAGATACTTCGAATCTTTAAAACACTTATCCAAAGATAATCAACCCCCTGGGAAATCTTATAAAACCATGTATGAGTCTTTTTCCTTCAAAGACTGGTAAGATTTTGTATCTTTTTTTTCCTTGCAACCCCCTGAAATGTTTAAAGAATGTTTGTTGTTATTGTATGTAGAGATATATACACACACATGGACATTTATGTATGATGGAGATGTGATTGGAAACGTGTATATTTTCTCATATGCATTTTATTGTTCACCGTTTGAGTTTGTAAACTGGTATTGTTCATAAAAAAAAAGTCCTGTTTCTGGAGATCTACCTACCTTCAGAGTTCAAATCAAACCCTCATCAAACACGGCTGTTTGTAATTATCAAGCGCTTCTAAGGATCTTAATTAATTGGTGTGTTTAATCAGGGTTGGAGCTGTACTTTGCAGGAAGGTTGATCTCCAGAAACAGGATTGGGCACCCCTGCTCAAGATGAACCTGTGTTTGAACTGATCTTGGTTTAGTTTTATAATTTAGGATGTAATGTGTAAGCATCCCAGGCAACATGTGAGATCATGCGATGATCACAGTGACATCACACCATTCTCATAGTGTGATACTCACAGTGTGAGTAATATGTGAGCTCATTGTGAATTCAAAATGTTGAGCAGGTTGAGAGGAGACCGTTCAGATATCAGTCACCGAGGAGGATTTCTATACTCTGTTTCTCAACACTATCACAGTGATATCACAGTGCTCTCACATGCTGAGCTCATGAGTGCACACTCAGCTAACAGCTTTTTGTCTAAACATAAAACTGACTTCCAGACACAGCCTTCGATGAAATCAACTGAAACACAAAAGACATTCAATCTTTGGTGATCTCAGCAGAGAATGATTAAACAACTCCACAAACAGCATCACCAGCTTCACTCATTATTAACCAGACTGACTTTATTTCTGTCAGACATCTACAAAAGCGCTTATTGAGAATTAACAGAGATTTAGATGATGTTTTGTTTCATTTGATGTTACCATCAAGGTGATTAGTGTTTGCTTTAGTTGGGCTCTTGACTTTATAACATTATATTTTGTTGGGCTGCTATAACGGTGTTTGTAAAGCACATTTATTATGGCAAGGAATACCAAAAAGAGACTGCAACCAGGTGATATCGGTTTGCTATTGATGATAACAACACAATCTTCACTCAGATTCAGTACGCAGTCTTTGTGAGGAGTTGGTCATTTAAAGTTTTGAATTATAATAGCTGTTTGATTATACAGTATAGGATCCAACAGTGTAATAATTTATGAAGGATTTTGAAAGCATGATAAGTCACACGCATTTTGAACTGCTGTGACATTTAAAAACCCAAGAGAAACCTCAAGAATCAGTGTATGAATCTCAACAATGGTGACAATCAAAAGCTTCATGCCACAATGCATGCTGGGTACCTAGTCTCTGTGCAGTGAGTGCACTTTGACCTCACATTAGTATGAGCACACATTGAGGTTACACTTTTAGCTCACTGTGACCTCAACACGAGTATCCTGGGTTCCATCACGAGATCAAAGTGTTGACTGGGTTATTATTTACTATTCCGATTTGTGTGTTCCAAACCTGTATGTTCTACGATGGCCATCTTAATTCTGCATTGAGTACAGGCTGTATACCGCAGTCTGCAGAGGCTGGGTCTCTACATAGCAACAGCCTTGAATACGTGACACAGCTAACGTACTTTGAAATTCAAATGGAATTTGCCAGACGGAAGGACTCTGGGGGTAAATTTAAGCATTATACATAGATTTTTATTCATCATCTTCCCAATCTACCGTTAAATTTCATGTATTTGTATAATGTTTTGTTTTAAAAACAAATTTCAAAAACATGGTGTTAGAATTCCTTGTTGGTTAACTTGCGCATGAGGCTGTTATATTGGTAGAACCCGTTTAGTTTAAATTGGTACACCGGCATGTTCGTTCTTATATTTTTTAAAATAAGTACAACAACTAAATTGGTTTAACATAAATTATTAATGTAGGCTGCATTTCAGTAATTAATTTAAAAAACAAAAGTATAAAACATTTTGATTGTATCATGTTTCAAACCTGAGACTGCAAGGTAAGACATTTATCCCCGATTTCACAAACAAGGCTTAAGCCTAGTCCCAGACTAAAATGTTAGTCTCAGCTGTTTCAACTGAAAGAAACTTGCACCGATTGATCTTAAAATATAACAATGCCTTTGTTTTGTCTCAGGATGGACACCAGTAATGTTTTTTTTTCAGGCATGTTTATAAAAATTACTTAAATGTCCTAATTGAACTATGGCTTAATCCTGGCTTAGTCTAAACCCTGTCTGTGAAACCAGGTTTTAGTGTTTGACAAGTGTTTTGTGATATAAAGTCACCATGAAATCTAAAATCACAATTAATATTTTAATGGAATAAAGCAGTGTATACTATTTATACACATCATCACAAAATAAAGTCCTGCCATGCATTTTTGGTACAAATGAACAAACATTTGCTTGTTAAGAGTGGGGGAGTAAACGTGGCATCCTGACCAAATTGTCCAATTGGTTTCATATCAGTCCTGGTCAGAGTTGGGCAGTAACGCATTACTTAGTAACGCGTTACTGTAATTTGATTACCTTTTTAGTAATGGAGTAATTTAACGCATTATAATTTTCAAAATAGTAATTAGAGTATAGTTACAAGCCGAGGTCTCTATACGTTACTGCCATGTTACATTGCTGACAGAATGCAGTGATTTATAATCTAGAGATTGTAAAAAGGATGTAGCTCATGCACTGTGGAGTCAAGTGCCAGTGGATTAGAGACCTGCTCCCGCGAGGCCAGACGCAACGCGCGGGACAAGATGGGCGAGTACTTCGGGCGGGTAGACACTCGTGTGTGTGCGGGATACGGGAGAATAAAATGATTCACGGGACTCCTGCAAAATAGAAATATCTAAACATAAAATATCTAAAACAAATTGTTATTCATCTATTGCACAAAAGCAACATGGACTAATATAAAATATAAACGATTAACAGGTGCAAGCGTATGCAGACTTTCTATTTAGGCTATAACACGTGTTTGCAGCGTTGAGCAATGCAGTGCTGAAATTTGCTTGCTTACGAATCCTCCAAATTATAACACACGAATTGTAGACATTATGAAAGATTCATTATGCCTATATTTATTGTGTTATATCAGAGATTTGTGAGAATGCGATCAACTGAGATGTATTTTAGAGATTATAAATGCAGAACTCTTTGCTGGCATTCTGCCATGCCAAACCATGCACGCAGCAGCCGCTTGCTTTAGTTAAAAATAGGGCTGCACGATAAATCACATGCGATATTTAATGCGCATCTTATCAGTAAAGCCGGCTCTGTAATCAGCGGTAAATCTCCATCACGTGTGGGTTTTCACATGGAGCAGCATTTACTACATAGAGCCGTTGTTCACTGACGAGCTGCGCAAAACCACGATCATATTTTGCGCATGTTTTGCGCAGCTCGTCAGTGAACAACGGCTCTGCTCAATGTGAAAGCCCGCACGTGATGGAGATTTACCGCTGATTACAGAACCGGCTTTCTGACAAGATGCACGTTAAATATCGCATGCGATTTATCGTGCAGCCCTAGTTAAAAATAACAGTGTTCTTTGAATGTTAATGCTTTAATAACAAATATTTATCGGGAGAGTGTATGCTGGGATTTCATAAATTTCATGGAGAAAAAAAGTAACGTAACTAATAATGTAACTAATTACTAATTACTTTTGAAATAAAGTAATCAGAACAGTAACGTGATTACTTTTAAAAGGAGTAATCAGTAATTTGATTACATTTTCAGAGTAACTTGCCCAACACTGGTCCTGGTCTCCTAATCAAACAAACTGACTACATCACTCTCCTCTGATAGCTGGCGGATGTACTAGTACGCTATGACTGCCATCACTTCATTTGGATTGATGCTGCACACAGGTGACAGCAGAGATTTCCCCCACTCTATCAATAAGCTTCTCTCCAGTGTGAGTTTTTATGTGACGTTTAAGATGTTTATGTTGCATGAAGCTCTTCGGACACTGAGGGCAGGTGAAAGGCCTCTCTCCAGTGTGAATTCTCATGTGATTCATAAGGCTTTGTTTCACTGTGAAACTCTTTCCACACTCGGAGCAAGTGAAAGGTTTCTCTCCAGTGTGAACTCTCATGTGATTCATAAGGCTTTGTTTCACTGTGAAACTCTTTCCACACTCGGAGCAAGTGAAAGGTTTCTCTCCAGTGTGAACTCTCATGTGATTCATAAGGCTTTGTTTCACTGTGAAACTCTTTCCACACTCGGAGCAAGTGAAAGGGTTCTCTCCAGTGTGAACTCTCATGTGACTCTCAAGGCTTTGCTGCACTTTGTAACTCTTTCCACATTGAGAGCAGGTGAAAGGCTTCTCATCAGTGTGACTTCTCATGTGAATGTCAAGGTTTTGTTTCATTGTGAAACTTTTTCCACACTGAGAGCAGGAAAAGGGTTTCTCTCCAGAGTGAATTCTCATGTGAATATCAAGGTTTTGTTTCACTGTGAAACTTTTTGCACACTTAGAACATATAAAAGGCCTCTCTCCTGAGTGATTTCTCATGTGATAACTAAGCTTAGGTTTACTCGTGAAACCCTTTCCACACTCGGTGCAGGTGAAAGGCTTCTTTCCAGTGTGAATGGTCATGTGGCTCTCCAGGCTTTGTTTCACTGTGAAGCTCTTTCCACACTGAGAGCAGGAAAACGGCTTCACTCCAGTGTGAATTCTCATATGTCTATCAAGGTTAAGTTTTACTGTGAAATTCTTTCTACACTGAGAGCAGGAAAAGGGTCTCTCTCCCGAGTGAATTCTCATGTGAATGTCAAGGCGTTGTTTTATTGTGTAACTCTTTCCACATTCAGGGCAAATGAAAGGCTTCTCTCCAGTGTGAGTGCACATATGACGTTTAAGACTTTGATGTTGTGTGAAGCTCATCCCACAGATGGAGCAGGTGAAAGGTTTCTCTCCAATGTGAATGCTCATGTGACTTTTAAGACACTGTTTTGCTGTGAAACCCTTTCCACACTGAGGGCAGACGAACGGCCTCTCTCCGGTGTGAACTCTTATGTGACTCTCAAGGCTTTCTTGCACTTTGTAACTCTTTCCACATTGAGGGCAGGTGAAAGGTTTCTCACCAGTGTGAGTTTTTATGTGACGTTTAAGGTATCCTTGTGTTATGAAGCTCTTTCCACACTCAGAGCAGGTGAAAGGTTTCTCTCCAGTGTGAATTCTAATGTGACTTTTAAGGCTTTGTTTCGAAGTGAAACTAGTTTGACATTGAGGGCAAGTGAAAGGTTTCTCTCCAGTGTGACTTCTCATGTGACTTTTAATCTGACCTTGTTGCGTGAAACACTTTCCACACTCTGAGCAACTGAATGGTTTCTCTCCAGTGTGAATTCTTAAATGAGCCTCAAGCCTGTGTTGCATTGTGAAACTCTTTCCACACTGAGGGCAGATGAACGGTTTCTCTTCTGTGTGAATTCTCATGTGCTGCTCAAGACTTGCTTGCTCAAAGAAATCCATCCCACATTCATGGCAAGTGAAAAAATCTTCTTTCAGTTCAATCTGATCTAAAATAAACATGAAAAGATCAATGTCAAACATCAATTCAAAGACAACAAAGGTGGTATTTTGAGCCAAAGGTATAGATTTGCAACCCAATTTAATAGCAGAATGCAATGGAGGTCATTGTTTAGGCACTGACATGTTTTTCCTAAACTGCAATTTGATGTATAAATCAAGCAGACAGATTTTTAAATGTATTGTTGTCCATGACTGAAAGTAACCAAGCAAATGGTTTTAATAGTTGGTGCCCTAAGAAAATTCATCCATGTATTAGGGATGGGCGATATCTTATCATTTGCGATATACCGGTAAAAATTCTCCCCACGATAAGAATTAGTCTTACTCGCGATAATAACGATAAAGTCTAGTTCTGTGTGTGACTGTGCAGAGCGACATGTCGGAATATGGAATAGGAATATATCGCTAAACGAGGAGCTCCTTCTACAGTCAGGAACTGGTTTGGTCAGGGCTGTAACTTACAGTGTGACAAAAAATCGGTCTGAGCCTTCAATAAATACAGTTTGTGCGATACAGTTTTGCATGTGTATGAGCCTGTTTACAAACCTGTTATCCAACAAAGATACCATTTATGGACCTTTTTCACATTTCCGGATTTCTCAGCAGCGGAAGTCGTCAACTTGAAGAGCAGTGAATGGGAGACTACCACAAAAATATTTTTTGCATTCTCATTTGCTCAAATATCAAAAGAAAAACTCCACGATAGTGTTTTCATGACTTTCAATAAAAGTAAAAAAAACTGAGAGAGACTGATAATGGCAGTCAGAAGAGAGAACTATGTCAAATTTACCGTCCCTCCCATAGACGCTGCATTAGAAACACCCTCGCATTAGCGTTAACTACTTTTTTTGTAATTTGATGCAAAGGTGATATAATACAAATTATAGTGTTATAAATGTGCATACATTTAAAAAAAAAAAATACATACAGTGGGGCAAAAAAGTATTTAGTCAGCCACCAATTGTGCAAGTTCTCCCACTTAAAAAGATGAGAGAGGCCTGTAATTTTCATCATAGGTATACCTCAACTATGAGAGACAAAATTGACTTTCAATAAAAGTAAAAAAAACTGAGAGAGACTGATAATGGCAGTCAGAAGAGAGAACTATGTCAAATTTACCGTCCCTCCCATAGACGCTGCATTAGAAACACCCTCGCATTAGCGTTAACTACTTTTTTTGTAATTTGATGCAAAGGTGATATAATACAAATTATAGTGTTATAAATGTGCATACATTTAAAAAAAAAAAATACATACAGTGGGGCAAAAAAGTATTTAGTCAGCCACCAATTGTGCAAGTTCTCCCACTTAAAAAGATGAGAGAGGCCTGTAATTTTCATCATAGGTATACCTCAACTATGAGAGACAAAATGAGGGGAAAAAAATCCAGAAAATCACATTGTAGGATTTTTAAAGAATTTATTTGCAAATTATGGTGGAAAATAAGTATTTGGTCAATAACAAAATTTCATCTCAATACTTTGTTATATACACTTTGTTGGCAATGACAGAGGTCAAACCTCAAACAGTCACACTCCAAACTCCACCATGGCCAAGACCAAAGAGCTGTCAAAGGACACCAGAAACAAACTTGTAGACCTGCACCAGGCTGGGAAGACTGTATCTGCAATAGGTAAGCAGCTTGGTGTGAAGAAATCAACTGTGGGAGCAATTATTAGAAAATGGAAGACATACAAGACCACTGATAATCTCCCTCGATCTGGGGCTCCATGCAAGATCTCACCCCGTGGGGTCAAAATGATCCCAAGAACTGTGAGCAAAAATCCCAGAACCACACTGGGGGACCTAGTGAATGACCTGATGACCTGCAGGACCAAAGTAACAAAGGCTACCATCAGTAACACACTGCGCCGCCAGGGACTCAAATCCTGCAGTGCCAGAGTGCCAGACTGCTTAAGCCAGTACATGTCCAGAACCATCTGAAGTTTGCTAGAGAGCATTTGGATGATCCAGAAGAGGATTGGGAGAATATCATATGGTCAGATGAAACCAAAATAAAACTTTTTGGTAAAAACTCAACTTGAGGAGAAAGAATGCTGAGTTGCATCCAAAGAACACCATACCTACTGTGAAGCATGGGGGTGGAAACATCATGCTTTGGGGCTGTTTTTCTGCAAAGGGACCAGGACGACTGATCCGTGTAAACGAAAGAATGAATGGGGCCATGTATCGTGAGATTTTGAGTGAAAACCTCCTTCCATCAGCAAGGGCATTGAAGATGAAACGTGGCTGGGTCTTTCAGCATGACAATGATCCCAAACACACCGCCCGGGCAACGAAGGAGTGGCTTTGTAAGAAGCATTTCAAGGTCCTGGGGTGGCCTAGCCAGTCTCCAGATCTCACCCCATAGAAAATCTTTGGAGGGAGTTGAAAATCCGTGTTGCCCAGCGACAGCCCCAAAACATTACTGCTCTAGAGGAGATCTGCATGGAGGAATGGGCCAAAATACCAGCAACAGTGTGTGAAAACCTTGTGAAGACTTACAGAAAACGTTTGACCTCTGTCATTGCCAACAAAGGGTATATAACAAAGTATTGAGATGAAATTTTGTTATTGACCAAATACTTATTTTCCACCATAATTTGCAAATAAATTCTTTAAAAATCCTACAATGTGATTTTCTGGATTTTTTTTTCTCATTTTGTCTCTCATAGTTGAGGTATACCTATGATGAAAATTACAGGCCTCTCTCATCTTTTTAAGTGGGAGAACTTGCACAATTGGTGGCTGACTAAATACTTTTTTACCCCACTGTATATATATATAAACACTTTGAAAGGATTTACAATGCTGATGACCGTTAAATGCATCATCACACTCTATTGAAAAGGGTCCACTGACATGCTCTTTGTCCAAATTAAATTCATAAAATCAGTCGAGCATTTAAAATAACTTTGTGATCAGACGTGGTTTCATATCACAGAATGAGGCAGAAATTATACTATTTTATAGTATTTAATACAATGATAAAGGCTATGTCGATTAGTATTGCATTATAAATATACTTTATTCTTAAAAAAATAGCCAAGATTGCTTAAAGAACACAGATAAACCATATACTGTCGCAATGTTTATTGTCTTCATATTTCCTCAGTTAAAATTTCTCTATATCTGCATTTTATTCAGCTACAGCTATAAGTGGACACCTTCGTCCATATTAGGGATTTCCTGGAGCATCCTCAGTGCAATTACTTCTGCAATGCATATGTTGAGTTTCTGCACAAGGGCTCCCTCCGGCTTCCAGTATATACTCATTACATTACGTGTGTACTCCTCACAACACCAGGGTAAAAACAGTAAAGATAATACTTTTCTCTAAAGAAACAGGATTTTTTTGTCTCTTGGTGGATGCATAATTATATAACATATATAATAATAATTACATAATTATCGTCATTTATATCGTTATCGCAATAAACACCAGAAATAATCGTGATATATTTTTAAGCCCATATCGCCCATCCCTAATATGTATATAGAGTGGTGGTATTGTTCTCAGTTTTTGACTGCAGTGAAATTGAGAACTTAAGGAACAATATTAATGTAATATTTTTGCAGTGTTCATCTGGTTGCTAGGTTAATTGTTTTGTACAACATAATACAAAACATTCTTGTGCGAGTTTGAAATAATATACAGGTAAGATCATAAAATAAATTTCAGTAAAGTTTTTGATGTCCTCCTATGGATTTATTTGTTGAGTAGCCAAAGTTGTAAAATACACAGGTTCATTATACATTCAGGAATGTAGGGATGCACCTTTATTGCATAACTGGTAAAAGGATGTTCTGTTTTTGCCCTTTATTTTGTACATTTTATCAACAAGAACCAACGATCACACAGATCAAATCGTCTAGAAAATATCCAAAAAGAAAAACGCTTTTTCTAAAGCACTTGGATTACTTTACTTTAAAATATAGTTGTTCTGACAAATACCTTATTTGTATACCTGAAGTAACCAAATCTTCCCGTATGCATAATCATTTGGCGCACGTGGTTTTTCATTAGTAATACCAATGAACAGATTCTTTGTAAGCGACCCATAATTACCTTACCATCGGTTTTATTGGAGGACTGGCAGGTTTTCGTCTGCACATCTGGTGTTTCTGTGGTCTGATTGTTTTCACGATTCTCCATCTTTATCACCAGGAAATGTTCGACCCCGTTTATTCCATAGATCGCTCAATCAGTCGCGTTTGACTCTGTCTATTTTGTAGCAGACATTATATAACCACACAGTACTGTATTTGGTTGAAAACAAGCCTAGCGTTTAAGTAGTTCTGACCTCCATGAAGCTTCGAAACGTTCCGAATCTTTTGCTTTGACTCAGTGGTTCAGAACACGAATCAAACTGGCCAAGTCACGCGGTTTCAGCAAACGAGTCTTCATCGCTGGTTCGAAACGTTTTGAAAGTTCGCCGCTAGAGGCAGCTTTATAATGCATGTTCAGTTTAATGACAAACACACGCATGCACAATGAAAAATTGAGATACTTCATAATTAATGGTACTTATTAGTTTGTAGATTACACATAGCAGATTACACGTTAGTGAAAACATTTGACAGTAATTGGTTTAAGAGGTGTCATTATCAGCCTTTTACATTACATACTAATCACTAATGATCTCCTGTTGGTGTTTGTGACTGGATTGTTCGGTTTTGATGGCTGTGTGAAAATCTTTAGTGAATATTGAGTTTTCTATTTGCTTCTTTACAGTTGGACAGTGAGGTATTTGTTCAGGGACTCTGCTTACCCTGCTGAAAAAACAATAGACACCATCACAGAATTATAATGGTTTTTCTGGTTATAATGGGACTTGTGTTGGTTTTAACGGAAACTGTACTCTGGTAATTGGCAGATGAACGGCTTGCTTGATAAACGAAACACATCCCACATTGATGGCAAGTGACAGAATCTTCTTTCAGTTTCTTTTGATCTAAAATGAACATAAGGACAATAATAGTGAGATAGCCAAAGTAACACATGTGCAACCCAGTCTAATGCAACAGAGGACATTGTTATATTTTTGACATATCAAAGGCTAAATCTGTCATTCCCATGTTATTGTCTCCTGAAGTGACAGTATAAGTTACAAAGAATTTGCAAGACAGTAAACAATTAAGTAAAATTCAGCATTGGTTTATGACTTGCGTTAACCCTTTCACATGCAAGTTTAAAATATTGACTAACTCAACACTAACTCTATCTCTTTTCTAATTCTATTTTATCTATTTGTTTTATATAAAAAAACAATTGACCCTCTAATACTTGCACTCTATATTCATTTTCTAACTGCTTGTTTCTTTAACAAAAAAGAGCCTCTAACACTAGCTTTCTCTATTCTATCCACTTGTTTTCTTTTTATTGTATGTATGTATGTGTGTGTGTGTATATATATATATATATATAAACCCTTGCTACATGTACTGCATTAGGCTAACCGAGACTTGTCATAGCACTTGCTTATTATTACTCTTTTGTTGGTTTTGATTGCTTCTATTGTACACATTTGTATAAAAGTATAATTTGGATAAAAGAGTCTGCTAAATGACTAAATGTAAAATATTGTACCTGAGCTTATAATTCTTTTTAATGTGACTACTTCTGAACATACCACATTTCTATTTCTGACATTTAGCAAATGTTTACACACGCTTTGGTTCCACCCTTTTCAAAGTATTTCTAGATCTATAACATGCCGATGCATCATAAAATATATCATAAAGAGAACTGAACTAAACTAACAGGATTTGCTAAATTGGTACTTACAGCTCAAATTTAAAATAATAGCTAAATGGGGCTGACACGTGAAAAAAAAAATTTATTTGGAGGATGTAATGCCGTGATGACCTTACTTTTCGCAGGTCACACATTCACGCTTGTGTGGAGTGGACACATCACAAACCACGCTCTCAGGTAAAATATTGATTCAGCATATATTATATTATTATATATTATGCTTTCACTCAACACAACACACACACAAAGACATCATACAATTCTCTCAACACAAATAGTTTAAAGGATACATATTATGCCCCTTTTTACAATATGTAATAAAAGTCTCTGGTGTCCCCAGAATGTGTCTGTGAAGTTTCAGCTCAAAATACTCCACATATCATTTATTATATCATTTTGAAAATATCTATTTTGAGTGGAAGCAGAAACATGCTGTTTTTCGGGCCTGTCTCTTTAAATGCAAATGAGTTATTGCTCCCAGCCCCCTTTTCCAGAATAGAGCTGCGCCATTACAGCTCATACCTGCTAAAAACATCTGTTTTGGTTCTGATTATCACACTGAAATCATGCGTTTTAAACCATATGAGTTTAAACTTCTGATATACGGTTTTCTGAGAAGCACACGGACAGAAAGCGGCTGTCACAGCATGCGAGTACTAAACTAAGTTCTCATTCACACACAAGTTAATGTTAAAAACACACATGAGTTACAAAAACAGTTGGTTATGTCTGTGAAGGCAAACTGCTGGGAAATAAATCACATGTTTATTTTAGATCTGTGTGGCAGCAGATATATACAGTAAATAAATTAATAAATCCACTGCTCTGTTGTCTCCTCTGAGGCTGGGACTCTAATCAGTGTTCTGTGCTCGTCTGTGCAGCCAAAGACAGAACAGTTAGCATGTTTTGCTCGAACTTTCGCCATGGCATTAGAACTAGTACTCCGTTGTAGCTTGCGAAAACACAATAACGGCGCTGTGGGTGTAAACTTACAGATTAAGGGGCAGTAATATTATAATGAGATCCCTTTGCCACGTCACCAAGGGAGCGAAATCAGATGCGCTGGTTTTCTCAGACGCTTGCAGAAAAAGTCTTCCCAAAACAAAGTTACTGGGTTAATCTTTTTCACGTTTCCTTAGTTGGTAGATGCACCGGGGACCTGATTATAGCACTTAAAACCTGGAAGAGTCAGATTTTCATGATATGTCACCTTTAATGTAATAAAAAATTATACGGCAGTTTGTTTCTATACTTCACATTATGGTGGTCTAATTTTAAAATATAGTTGGTCTGACAAATTCCCAACTATGCCTGCGTCCCAATGTGCATATTATCCATCCTAAATTCTATGTGATATTAGTAATTTTCAATACTATTTAGGGCAGATAGGGTTGATAGTATGCACATCGTATGATTTGATGCGGCACATGGTTTTAATAAGTCGCAATCAACAACTAACAATCTGCAAACTTGACTCTGTAAATGACAAACAACAAACTTACTCTGACTTTTATTCTTCTGCACCTCTGTTGTTTCTGTGATCTGACTGTTTACACGCTGCTCCATCTTTATCTCAAGGAAATACTCGATCCCGTTTACTTCGCAGATCGCTTCATCAGTCAGTTTAGATTCACTCTCTTCTGTAACAGATTCTACATGGCATTTTTGTGTAGTGACGTCTGCTTTCGAACGCTGCTTCGTGAATCGTGAGGCTTCGAAACGTTTATGAATCTTTTGATTCGAATGGTTCAGCGCGAGTGAATTCCGCAAACGAGTCTTCATTACGTCACTGCCGTTTCGAAATTTCGAAGTTCTCCGCTAGAGGACGCTGATCTGGTGAACCCATGAACCAGTGGCTTCAACTGATCTCGGTTCAGCTTAGATTCAGTTACATTCCACAAAGTAGGGATTAGTGTCGTATTTTAGGCCCTCAAAAGAATCTGAGTCATGCAGCTGGTTTGTGGAAACCCCATTGCAGAAAACCTGTGCATGGTCTCTAATCAGTCAAGCTTGTTATCTTGTGCAGGGCCATGCACAGACATGCCGAAGGGCAGAGGCCCCAGAACCAGGGAAAAGCTCACAGTTGGCGACTGGCAATAAAGTTGTTTTAGGCTGGATCTATGAATTCAATTATAAGCATTTGCAAAAACTGGGCACAGATGACATTCTCCCACCTTTCAACCATTGGGCATCCTATGAGAAAAATATTAACAATTAATTTCCGCAGCAACATTATGGACATGTTAAACCGGTCATATGATGTTGCTAAAAAGAACATTAATTTGTGTATTTGGTGTAATGCAATGTGTTTATGTGGTTTAAGGTTAAAAAAACACATTATTTTTCATATAATGTACATTATTATTGCTCCTCTATGCCCCGCCTTTCTGAAACGCATTGATTTTTACAAAGCTCATCGGTCTGAAAAAGCGAGGTGTGCTGTGATTGGCCAGCTATCCAGTGCGTTGTGATTGGCCGAATGCCTCAAGCGTAAGACGGAAATGTTACGCCCCTTACCATACTGTGATGCCGTCTCCCAGCACGACGAGACAAAACCAATAAAACCAATTATAAACGAGGCATTTGTTGCATCCAGTGGGGACATAATTACTGATTATAATGTTAATGTAATAATACAGCTTATCTAAGAATATATTGTATAACCTATGTTGCGTTAAACAAACTGTTTTGTTTTGATGAATATTAAATGCTTTCCATTATATTGACATATTGTACAGTATTTCCCTGCTTTAGAAAATTTCCAGTAAGGGATATTTTATAGTGTCAGGGTGAAAATAAAACTGGAAAGAGAGGTGAAGTCAACATGTTTTAATTAAATATTCAATATAATAAAAGAAAACAATAACATACACGTGTTTAATAAGAAAACAAAACCAGAACAAACTGCAACTTTTGTGAGACAGGTTAGGTATTAAAATAATCTATAGGCTACATTGGAATATAACATTTAAAAACGGCATGATGGTATAAAATATGACCAGGTCAAATGTTGTTGTTGTTGTTTTTTGGAATGTTCTATGGCTCTATTCAGTGCACATACAAAATAAGATGGAATAATGTTTTTTTTCTGACAAAAATTTGGGTAGGAATTGACAGGAGTAATTTACATTAATTACTAATTTACATTGCCTAAGAAAAGCTTTGTCTGGATCAGTTTGACGCGTTACAACCTGCAAGTCCTACGATGGCCATCTTGATTCTGAGCAGACGACATATATCAAACTCTACATAGCAACAGCCCTCGAAACGTATAATCACACAGATAATCCGTCCGTCCATTCTCCAAACCTCTTATCCTCTGTAGGATCGTGGGGGGCTGGGGTCTATCCCGGGAACACACTGAACATATGGAACATATGGGCTGTCCATCACAGGGCTCACACAACACCAACACACACATTCACACAAACACAGCTAATGTACGATGAAATTCATATTGTAAGAGTCTGTAACAGTCATCTGCAATTAGGACTCTGATGTAAATATAAGCATTATGCATTTTTATTCATGGTTTTGAAAATCTAAATCTAATCGTTGTTTTTAAACCATTAAATCTGACTTTAGATTTGTAATGTTTCATTTTTTAAAGTCTTGCCATAATGTTTTTTTTTTTGTTATTTTGCGTGCGAGGCCCTTTAGTTTAGCTGTTCCTTCTTTGCTAAATTGTTAGTCTGATTTAAATCAAGTAATTTATTTAAAAAGAAAAAGTATAAACTATTTTGATCATTAATGTCTCAATCTTGAGACTGCAAAGTCTCATATAATAGAATATTTGATGACAGTATTATTATATAAATATTAAAGTCACCATTAAATCAAAATGGACAATATTATTGAAGAATGAAATGTTTATTCTAATATTTAAAATTAATTATTATAATTATACTAAATTATTATTATTATTTACAATTCATGTGCTCTTTTAATTTTTAATCAAAATAACTTTCCCTACCCCTTGCAACACATCCCTTCTCTTATGATGGGTGTACAATAACCCCTCTCCTGCAGCAACCTGTCACTCATGAGATCACAGCAATAGCAAACAACAATGTTCCAGTCAATTTCACATAGACAAAATCAAGTCCTGCTTTTTTTTTCTAGTTCAAGAAAGCCGTTTCACTTATATATACAATACATCAGTCATAACAGGATGAAACAACGCCAAAGTACATTTTGACTTGTTTAAATCTCCGAATGAAAGTGATAAACAACTAACATAGATTTTCTGTTTTGCAGAAGTTCAGTCAGAAAAAACTGGGCCGGACATTTTAGAAGTTGTCATTGCCTCCCCGCCAGGAAGATTTTTGTCTGACATTCAAAATTATTCAAATGTACTGTCAAGTTAACTCTTCTGTAGCAGGAGAAGAGCATGAGGTGGGAAATGAAGTGATAAGAAATGAGCAGTTTATTGAAAAACCTTAGATACTAAGGTGTTGGTCAAAGTTCTGACTGTATCTAAATAAAAACATACACGTTCTTATATCAATAAAAGGTTATAGGAATTTTCTGCTTAACAGTGTATGTGGTCATGAAGAGACTTCTTATCTCAAGCATGCAGAGAAGAACAGATGGAAGAGAATCATTGTAGTGTAGTGAATTGAGTTGTACGTGATTATGATTTGTAATGCATTTTACCCAGACCTACTTTAAATAACAACCAGTTGTTTGTTGGGTAAATGAATGTAAAATGAGCACTTTTCATCTGTTACAGTTCTGCTTTTCACAGATCAATTAAACTTTAAGGGACAGTTCACCCAAACTTTAAGGGACAGTTTTTTTCCCCACCAAGTAGCACAGTAAAGAAGATTTTTTTGGTGAAACTGTTGTCCTTGGCAATTCATATACACTGCACGTTTGTGGCTGTCAGTTTTCGAGTGTTAAAAAAACATACACAGAGAAGACCAAATCAATACCCGTGGCTCCTGACGATACATTGAGGTCTTATGGCCTGTGCAATAAAATGAACATTATTTACATTATTATTTTTAAACCATAGCCTTGGCAAACAGTTCTCAGTGCATTCACAACTCTCAGGAGCGTGAACTTCCTGTCGCATTATGACGTAAGGCACAAACTTACATGAATGATGATGCTATTTGTTTACAATGGAGAGTGAGGGCACGTGTGTTTTATTGTTCTTCAAAATGGTACTTACCTGTGCTTATCCTGGATGCTGGAACCAATTAAAAAAGATTTGCTGGTTTGCTGGTACAATCCTATTTGGGAAGATTGACTTTTTTCAAAATTTCTGGTCTTTTGATCCAGATAGATAGACAACCTCTGTTGTCATTGTACAAACGCCACGTTTCGAGAGTCCTCATTCCCACCAAGGCTTATGGTTGTGCCGCTGCATCCTCCATCCTTCTGGTTTTTCTCCAGTGTGAACTCTCAAGTGACTCTCGAGGCTTTGTTTGACTTTGTAACTCTTTCCACATTGAGGGCAGGTGAAAGGTTTCTCACCAGTATGAGTTCTTATGTGACGTATAAGGTATCCTTGCTGTGTGAAGCTCATTTCACACTGAGGGCAGGTAAAAGGTTTTTCTCCAGTGTGAATTCTCATGTGACTTTTAAGGCTTTGTTTCGATGTGAAACTCTTATCACATTGAGGACAGATGAAAGGTTTCTCTCCAGTGTGACTTCTCATGTGAATATTAAGCTGACCTTGTTGTATGAAATTTTTTCCACACTGAGGGCAAGTAAATGGTTTCTCTCCAGTGTGAATCCTTAAATGAGCCTCGAGCTTTTGTTTCACTGTGAAACTTTTTCCACATTGAGGGCAGATTAATGGTTTTTCTTCAGTGTCAATTCTCATGTGCTCCTCAACACTTTCTTGCTCAAAGAAATGCATCCCACATTCATGCCAAGTGACAGAATCTTCTTTCTGTTCATTCTGATCTAAAATAAACATTAAAATATCAATGTCAAAAATCAGTTCAAGGATAATTAAGGTGAGATTGAGCTAAAGTGAGTTTAACAGCAGAAAGCGTCAGAGGTCGTTGATATACTAAATGTTGAATCTGTCATTCTTTATTTGTCAAAATAGGTGTAAACAGGAAACAAAATTCAAACCACATTCATGGGTGGTTAGGGATGCATGTGGTCACATTAGCCGCGTTTCCACAGTCAGCCAAAAGCGAGTGTAATGGAGGTGTGAACTGTGGGTAAAACCTCACTCCTCTGACCTCAAGAGGCGCACTAGCAACTGATGCTAGAAGCTGTCTTAAGAGTCCTTGTTAGTGCACTCACCTCCCACGCTGGAAACACTGGTTCAAATCCCACTCAGAAAGAGTGAGGGGAGTAAGACTAATGCTAAGGTGCACTAGCAACTGACACTAGATGCTGTGGTCTTTAGCGTCCTTGTTAACATGCCCGTCTCCCATGCTGGTAACACCAGATCAAATCCCGCTTGGTGTGAGTGAGGGGAGTAAAACCCGAAGGGGTTAGATTGGTGCCGTGACTCGGATGGGAGTGAGGTTTAGTGGGGGAGTGTAACGGATGCCAGATAATAAGAGCTGTGCGGGTAAAACCTTACTCCTCTGATCTCAAGACGCTGTAGGATTTACCATGAACCAGAGTCCAACAAATGGACAAAACAACAAATGAACACTCCTTAAGCTCAAGGAGATTCCCCACTAAGTCAGTGATAGGTCATAAAAACTAATCAGCGGTGCCTGATTGTCTGAGTCCACTGTCTTCCATTATATCTGCTCATTCTCAACTGGGTCTGGGTCTGAAAATTTATCAAAGAAGAAGACCCTCCATTGTTCCCAAAACATAACCATTCTGTGGAACCAAATGGCCAACCAACACTTCGTGACAATCATACACAAAATGTATGGCCATAACAGGAAAGACGAGACACGTGATGGGGTTAAAAGACCAGAATTAACATGAGAAAACGCCTCCAATGCCGGTAACGCCAGTTCAAATCCTGCTCGGAGCTCAGGGAGTAATACCCAAAGGGGTTACATCGGTCCCTTGACCTGGATAAGAGTAAGCTTTAGTAAGGGGGGGTGTAACGGAGGCCAGCTGGTAATTGCTGGGTGGGTAAACCTCATTCCCCTGATCTCAAAAGGCGCACTAGTGATTGACACCAGAGGCTGCAGTCTTTAGCGTCCTCGTTAGCGTGCCCGTCTCCCATGCCAGAAATGTTGGTTTCCACTCAGAGCGAGCGAGTGGAGTATAGAACCGGTGGGGTTACATAAGCGTGCTAACGGGGATTCTTATCACCCTATGAGGCAGAAATATTTTATTTATAGATTTATATGAGATGCTAAAGGCTACGTATTCTTATGAAAACGAATTTACATGTGCGACATGCCCGGAACAGCCTGGATAACAATTGGCTAACACTGCTGTCAATCAAATTAATCAAGAATTATGCAAAACACATTTTATTTATTTTAGTTATTTGAGATGTTATAATAGTTCTATAATTATGTTAAAATAGATTAAACAATAATTATTTAACAAATATTAGGTTATATGTGTATAATAAACTGGGGGGCCTTTCATCAGAGTGGGTGGGCCTGTGCCCGCCAGACCCGTCCGCTGCCTACGCCCCTGCAGTGTAATAGTGAACACAGGAGGCAACATTAGTAATATAATGAAACATTTACTAACAAAATACAACATCTACCTCAAGCAATGCGCTGTATTAGGCTATGTCTCCCGGCTCCAGCTCCAACTGCAACTCGCGAGACACATTCACATCACGTTGATTCGGTAGAGTTACACTCATAAGACACTGCACTTATTCGCAATCACAAAAGTACATTATTTCCGTGTGCTTTAAAGCCTTGCCGGTTAAACTTTTCATTTGCGTGCTGTTCTAACATGTGCTTATTCAGAGCGCGTGCACCCGAAGCGTCCATACGGGCGGTCATACAGCACCTGATTACTTAGTTATCGTCTGATTGCGCTAATACTGTCAAAACACACAAGGCTTACATATAAACAGTTAATTATGTCTAAAGTGAAAGTAGACAGTTGAGAGAAAGCTCTTAAAGTAGCAGTACTAAACATGCTGCCGCTTATCATTAATGGGATAGTTCACCCAAAAATTTTAATTCTGTCATTATTTACTCAGTCATGTTGTACCAAACATGTATTAATTTTTATTTATTCTTGTGCTGAACACAAAATAAGATATTTTGAAGAATGTGGGTAACCAAACAGTTGCTGGTCCCCACTGAATTTAATAGTAGGAAAAAAATATGAAAGTCACTGGGACCAGCAACTGTTTAGTTTGCCACATTCTTCAAAATAACTTTTTATGTTCAATAGAAGAAAGAAACTCATTCAGGTTTAAAACAACTTGAAAGTGAGTAAATGATGAGACAATTTTCATTTTTGGGTGAACTATTCCTTTAATGTTAATAAAATAATACACAAAGAGAAAAATAACTTGCTGCTCTTGACTGAAGAATTTTAATACAGTTGCTAAAGTTCAGCAGTAATAAAATAACTTGAAATTTTCAACAACTTTTTGCAATTTGCACCAAATAGTATCAATAACAGTATCGAAAAGTACCGGTATCGATAAGCGGTATCGGTATAGATCAAATGTAAATGATACCCATCCCTAGTTACAAATAAAGTCAGTAACAGTAGCATTCAGGTGCAGAAATGTCATAATTAAGTGTAAAATAACACAATAGTGCTCACAGCACAAGTTAAATACAGATTAATTTTTGTTAGAGCTGTGGTGTTATTTGATTAGCAGACAGAAACAGGTATTTATTGACTGCTGTCTCTTTAAGACCAAATGACCTAATACTGACACACTCAGCTGTTTACATTCATTTAAGACATAATCGACTGTGTTTACTAGAATACTTGCCAAAACGGGTAGTCTTTTTTAATACATGTAACAAACAGAGTTTTTTTTAAATCTAAAGATAGACAGACAGACAGATAGATAGATAGATAGATAGATAGATAGATAGATAGATAGATAGATAGATAGACAGACAGACAGATAGATAGATAGATAAGCCTTAGGACTTAAAAGCCATAATGGAGTTGTTTTGTGCATTCCTGTGATAGAAAAATTAACGGAAGCAGGTGTAACTGCTCAGTAACTTGAAATATCCATTTTTAACATTCAAAATGGAATGTTTTTCTTAAAAAAAAGTGAAGTAACTTTTCGTAATCACAAATCCATTGTGTTTGTAGCTAGATTATAGTGTTATAGTTATTAAATTAATCACTGCTTTATAATTAGATTTTGCAGTCATGTGAATCATTGTTAAAATTGTTATTTGTATTCTATAAGCCCCATCCCCAATTCCCATTTTCTATTATAAAGAACAATTTGCAGCTTTGCTAAATGTTTTGGGAGGCAGTCAATAAAGAAATATACTTTTGCTTGGAGAGTGCAGTTATGTCTTTTTAATTTTATTAAAAGGAATGAATGATCATTTATTCAAGCATCTAAAAAAATCACATTTTCAAAACACTTGGCTTCTCTGGCTTCAATCTGATTTTAGATAAGTATTGCAAGTATTGCGGTTATTTTTACATCTGGAATAAACCCCATTCTAGGCTTATAAATCATTTGACACATGTGGTTTATTGGTCACGATCAACAAATAACATTAATTTAACTAACTGGATCAACTTACACTGTGTTTCATTCTTCTGCTCTTGTCTAGGTGACGACTGGCAGGTTTTTGTCTTCACATCTGGTGCTTTTGTGGTCCGGTTGTTTTCATGCTGCTCCATCTTATCGATCAAGTTTATTTCGCAGAATAGGCTACCCGTTAGTCAGTTTTAATTCGTTCTATTCTCGAAAAGACATTCTACAATCGAAACTGATTTGGTTTAAAATATAAGCAGCATTACTGCAGCGATGGGCGCTTTCAAAACACTGGTTCATGAAGATTCGAAACGTCAACGATTCTTTTGTTTTGAATCAGTGGTTCGGAGCACGCGTCAAACTAGCCAGGTCACGTGATAAGCTGGACATTTCGATGCATTTCCAATAGGGGGCAGTGAATTCAGTGTTGTTTAATTTAATGTTAGGTTAGGCTTTGTAAGTTACAAAGACAATAAATTAATCACTAAATATTTCTATAGATTATATATTAATTAATAATATTATATAATATTTAAATTGGGCTAACTGAATTTCTGTAAAATGAATTTGATCCGTTAACATTAACTATTAATTATTTATTAACATTAGCTCAATCAGAAATATGTAAGTTAGACCCAATGGAAAAAAATGTGTTTACCAAACAGTGTAGTTGGAGTAATTAAATATCTCAATTTGTAGTAGCAATTGTTTATTTTCAATTGCCCCAAAAGAAAAAAAAAAAAGTACTAAAAGCAGAAATACATTAAACAAAATTGACATTTTCTCACCTCTCTTTATTAACAAATCACGGAATATTTGGCGGAGGTACCTTATTCTAATTAAGAAAAACACATAATTCTGAATAATTTATTAAATAAAAATTTCAAAAGCGGTTCACGGCAAAACTAACATTAATGACAAAGTTTCCCCGCATTAAATAGGCAAGTGACAGAACAGAAGTTACTTAATTATATGTAAATCGGTATAGATCTTGATTTATTATTGCATGACATGTATAGCCTAAATATATCCAGCTTTAAACTGCTTAAAGTGTTACTGACAAAATCTTTAGAAAATGATTTCAGTGATTTACAGTCTCAATACTCACCATAACGTCTTGAATCTTGATGAATAGGCCTATAATGAGGAATATGCCTTCTCTTGGGACTGATGTGTTTCGTATTTGGCTGAAATCGGCTCCGCTTGATCTCCCGCGCATCCGCATTTGAATTCACAATCCCAACGGTTTTCCTCAGACGCATGTTGGCAGGTGGCTAGTTATTTGAATGTAGGACTTTTTCGACTTAGACAGTATATTGAGCTCAATTGTTCGGTGAAACAGCCTATACCACATCTTTCTGTTTTGGGATAATTGTTTGTAAGTGTTTTATTGAGCCGATATGACATTATCAAAATTAAGTTTTTTTAGTAACTTAATGGGACGAAAAAAGAAACATTAATGGAGCTGTTTTCAGCATATTAGGCATTATGTGCATATTTTGAATAAATTTAATGAATGTGGTTACAGGGATTTTGTTGAAGACACTGTGAAACAATGCAAAGGCACACGCAATTACTGAATCTTTAAATGAAAATGATGAACAATTACACTGACTTTCTGTTTTGCAGAAGCTCAGTGAGAAAAACTACAGGATTTTCTCACACCAGACATTTTAGGAGTTGTCGTTGCCTCCCGCCAGCTTCTCTCCTTCAAGATTGTTGTCTGATATTCAAAGGTATTCAAACATATGTGACCCTGCCTGTGAAAACCCAACTGAAGTCATTTTTTGTGATTTACTGTTAAGATGTAAAACTTTTTGTGAAAATATAACCTTTATATCTTTAATATTGACTGAGTAAGGCCATGTCAAAGATTGAAATCAGTGAAATTAATGGTTGAAATCAAACTTTGGTGCTTGTTATATCATAATTAGATTATGAGACTTTAGCCTGGATTTCACAGACAGGGTCACATATTGTCAAGTTAATTCTTCTGTAGCAACGAGGCTGACACAGGGAAAGACAACAGTTATTCTTTCCATCAGTTATGATTCTGCCTTGCACAGATTAATGACAAATTCCCAATTATTGCGGACATTTAGTAACCACTTACATGTATCAGATTTTAGACACTTTTTCATTAGTTACGACCAACAATTACCATATTCTTTTAACTTATTTGATTCTTTGTAAGTGACAACTAACCATCTTACACTGTCTTTTATAATCCCGCTCTTCACCAGGTGAGGACTAGCAGGTTTTCGTCTGCACATCTGGAGTCTCTGTGGTTTGATTGTTTTCATGTTGCTCCATCTTTATCACTAGGAAATGTTGGACCCCGTTTCTTTCACAGATCGCTCAATGAGTCATTTTTGTCCACTCTATCCACTAACAAATATTATGCAACCAAAATTAATTTTATAAATTTAAAATAAGCAATTCAATATTTAAAATAAGCAATGACAAAACACTGAGAAAGGTGATCCAAATCTTTATTTTGAATCAGTGGTTCGGAGTGCGAATCAAACTGTCCAAGACAAGTCACATGATTTCAGTAAACGAGGCTTCACTATGTCATGCATTGGTTCGAAACTTTTAGACATTTCAATGATTCACCTCTTGGGGGAGTTGATCTGTTTAATACATCTAATATGGTTTTAACCATTTTTGTTTCCGTTGTGCACAATTCGGTTTCTCGATTTAGTTTCAATAATGTATTTACGGGAAAAAATATATAATTTGGCACTGGAAGAGTTTTAAACATACACTTAATGTGTTTTGTATATTGCATGTAATCGATTACACTGGCCTTTGCAAATGATTTGTAAATGTGTCATTAAATACACGCTCTGTCTGTGTTCTCGTTGCACATGGTTTTGGTCAGCAGGTGGCGCAAGTGTAAGCCGTTTCAGAAGAGAATCGTTTTACAAATCAGTTGGATCAATTGCTTTTATGTCTAAAAGCTCCATTTAGCTCCGCATTATTTTAATAAATAATAATATAAAACTAGGCACCCAGCATGCATCCGCATTATTTTAATAAATAATAATATAAAACTAGGTTCCCAGCATGCATCCGCATTATTTTAATAAATAATAATATAAAACTAGGTTCCCAGCATGCATCCGCATTATTTTAATAAATAATAATATAAAACTAGGTATCCAGCATGCATCCGCATTATTTTAATAAATAATAGCGGTCTCCATCCAAACTTCGTGTGAGCAGTTATAATCTGCAAAGTAACGCGAGGGGATATTATAGTTTGTGGACAACATAGAAAATGTGTGCATCACAGTGCCATTAAATCGAGCTTATGTTTGATCCGGTGCATAATAATGTGGTTATCTAAAGGTTTATACAACAAAGCATTACCTTTTCATTTTTTCCCCCACACCTCATTGTACTATGTGAAAGTGTCTGTTATAAACAATGCAACAACAGATGAAAATCTACTAGCCTATTATACCTGTATAACTATTTATGAGCGTTAGCTGTAGTACAGATCAGGAATAATCAATATCCAGATCTCTTAACACACTTTTAGCTGCATATACCATGAAACATTTTAAATATAGCCTATTTTACTTTATTTAAACAGTATATTTCACAAACACGCCAAGCTTTATTCCAATTCTAAATACACTGGTCCACAATACGCTTTTGACCTGTATAACCTGTTATAATATTACTATATTAGTACAACGGTGTTTAAGAATATCAGCGTCTCCTAGGAACATGCGGTCTTTCACAGTTAACACTTTGATCTCACAGTGAGTCACCATGACCTCCCAGGATACTCGTGTTGAGGTCACAGTGAGCTAAAAGTGTAACCTCAATGTGTGCTCATACTAATGTGAGGTCAAAGTGCACTCACTGCACAGAGACTAGGTACCCAGCATGCATTGCAGCATGAAGCTTTTGATTGTCACCATTGTTGAGATTCATACACTGATTCTTGATGTTTCTCTTGGTTTTTGAATGACTGATGTGATTCATCATGTTTTTTAAATCCTTCATGAATTACACTGTTGGATGCTGTATAATCAGAGGGCTATTATAATTAGAAACATTAGATTATCAACTCCTCACAAAGACTGCGTACTGAATCTGGATGAAGATAGTGTTGTAATCAATAACAAACCGATATCACCTGGTTGCAGTCTCTTTTCGGTATTTCTTGCCGTAACAAGTGTGCTTTACACAGTTACAGCAGCCCCAAACAAAAAGTCAAGGGGCAAGAGCCCAACTAAAGCAGACACTAATCACCTTGATGGTAACATCAAATTAAACAAAACATCTAAATCTCTGTTAAGTCTCAATAAGTGCTTTTGTAGATGTCTGACAGAAATAAAGTCAGTCTGGTTGATATTGAGTGAAGCTGGTGATGCTGTTTGTGGAGTGGTTTAATCATTCTCTGCTGAGATCACCAAAGATTTAATGTCTTCTGTATTTCAGTTGATTAGTTATGCGAGAAAACAGCCAGCCAAATGATACCAAAAACACCAACTCTTCAATCAAGCAATTTTTATTTGAAGTTGGGGGGTGGGAGAGGGACAAAATCTTCTTAAACTGTTTGAGCAAACAGGGAAAACATGCCATATGAATAAAGCACTGAATTGAAAAGATCAGCAAGTATAATGCAAAATTCCCATGACCATTTCAATGACCACTTCCCTGACCGCATCCCAGACAACTTCCCTGGCCGCTGCCCTCGCCACTCCGCCAGGGAGTGCGGTTTCAGCATTTGTAAATCAGGGGTTTCACAATGGGTCTCAAACCCAAATACAAATTTTACGTATTTGTTGGCTTCAAATCAAAAGGGTTTTAAAACCCTTCTACTCATTCCTAAACGGTGTTAATTACTTTCAAAGACTGAGTCACTTATTTCTGCATTGTGCAATGTAATGAAGTCAACAGATCTTCACCTGTGGTTCGTCTTTGAATAGCCTGAGTTATGCTCAAGTATCCGAACAGACACGATAACACAGCAATCAACGAGAAATACACTCGAGCTGTCATCCTCCCCGAACTGTGACCTCACAACGATCTCTGCTGGTTAATGCAGTTAATTGGTGCGTCAGGAGGAGCGAAGCCACAAAACTAAAACGAATACTTGTTGCTGCAATATCAGCCTCTGTAAAATGGGGTTTTAAAGATCCAAGGTGATCAGGTCAAGTCCAGCCCTGATCAAACTCACCTGCCTGTAGCTTTCTAGTCATCTGGAATGCCTTGATTAGCTTGTTCAGGTGTGCTTGATTGGGGTTGGATGAGCTGAATGCTGCGTTCAGGCCATGCCATAATAATTAAG